GCCTCCCACGCCTGCCCGGCAGGAAAAGGGGGAGGTGGTGTGGGGAGCTGGGGATTCTCCGGAGTCCGCTCCCTGAAGGATTGGGGCTCCTTTGCCCCCTGGGGTGGGCAAGCGAGGCGGGGGGGTGTTCTGGGCCGGAGGGAGGAAGGCTCCGCTACGTCCAGCTGCCGCCAAACAATTGGCCGGAGCGAGGCGGCAGTGGGCCAAGGGCGGGGGACCAGGTCATGTCCCTGGGGGCTTTGGCCCCCCCACTCTTGGTCCTTTAGTCCAGGCTGGCTAAAGGCAGACAATCAGTGGATTGTAAAGTAATGGCTGACCCAGAGAAATGTCTTAATTCAGTAAATACTTAAATGCAAACTTGGGTGCACAAAACCCTCAATTGAGTGGTGGTGGTTTTCTGAAAGTAAATGGCAGTGGGTGGGGGCACTTTGGGTCTGGAAAATGTGGGGGGGGGGAGGAGCTTTAATCACAATTACGATCCTGGCTCCAGAAAGGCTGCATTGCAAGGGAAGCCCTTTGTGCTCACGGCATCAGGCAGGACTGGCCCAGAGCCTCCTTCATCATCTTCACTCTCTTGCCCTGCCATCCTTTCAGCCATCTGGATGGTAGATTTCTTCTCCTTCTCCTTCTCCTTCTCCTTCTCCTTCTCCTTCTCCTTCTCCCTTTCTTTCTTTCTTTCTCTCTCTCTCTCTCTCTCTCTCTCTCTCTCTCTCTCTCTCTCTCTCTCTCTCTCTCTCTCTCTCTCTCTCTCTCTCTCTCTCTCTCTCTCTCTCTCTCTCTCTCTCTCTCTCTCTCTCTCTCTCTCTCTCTCTCTCTCTCTCTCTCTCTCTCTCTCTCTCTCTCTCTCTCTCTCTCTCTCTCTCTCTCTCTCTCTCTCTCTCTCTCTCTCTCTCTCTCTCTCTCTCTCTCTCTCTCTCTCTCTCTCTCTCTCTCTCTCTCTCTCTCTCTCTCTCTCTCTCTCTCTCTCTCTCTCTCTCTCTCTCTCTCTCTCTCTCTCTCTCTCTCTCTCTCTCTCTCTCTCTCTCTCTCTCTCTCTCTCTCTCTCTCTCTCTCTCTCTCTCTCTCTCTCTCTCTCTCTCTCTCTCTCTCTCTCTCTCTCTCTCTCTCTCCCTTTCTCCTTCTCCTTCTCCTTCTCCTTCCCTTCCGCCTTCTTATGCCTCTTCTTTTCCCTCTCCCTTTGCCTCCCCCTCTTCTCCTTCTCCTTCTCCTTTCCTTCTCCCCTCCTCTTCCTCCTCCCCCCGGCTGTGTCCTCACAACTAATTCAGATCATACTAAGTGGCTGCATTTGCTCAATGTTGTAGTTAGCATTAACCTTGATTAGGCTTCTTTTGTGGCTTAGCAAACTGAGTGAATGAAGGTCAGTTTATGGTTGAATGGATGGTGTGGCAACTCTGTAACTAAACTGTGCATGTTGTGTGAACGCAATCTGTGAGTCAAGGGATGTTAAAGGTGTCCTTACTCTGCTATTTCCATCATTTCTGTGTTAGCCGGTTTCCCTGGTTTCAAAATTGGCCCTGGGCTGTGAGGCTGGAACAAGCGATGCGATGCGAGTCAGCTGCTGTCTCAGACCCACTGAAGCTTGACTGGTCCATCCGGCTGGATCTTCTTGCTCCTGCTGAGCTTGCCCTTGGGGGCCTGTCACAGTCTTGGCCCAGAGTTTCTCTGCGGGCAGAGACTTGCCTATGTTGGCCAAGGAGCTGCCCATAACACCATGTACATACGCTGGTGCTGCCGGATAACAGTTCTTCTCCATCCCTGCAAGGTGGCTGACGGGAGGCCAGCGGAAGGCAGGGCCGCCTGTTCTACTGGCCCACGAAAGGGTCAGGAAGCTGAGACCAAGAGAATCCCCCCCCTTCTGGCCAACCATTCTGCGCCCCACCAAGCTCATGGCATGAGCTGGAGGAAGCAGCCCCCGGGCACCTTTTAAGCGGACTTTCTGGGCGTCACAGCTGAGGCTGCCCGACCCAGGAACAGCCTGGAGGCCGAGGGCTTCTCTGGACTTTTATGCCCGGTTATCCTTTCCCCAGCGCCCTGGGCAGAGCCCTGCTTCTCCGGCTTTGTTCTCTCTCACTCTTTCTGCCTTGCCATCTTTCATCTCGATTTACCCTGGCAATTGTGGTGGGATGCAAGCCTATAAGCAGACAAGGAAACAAGCCACACAGACCCACTGGCTTAGATTAAACCGAGACTCCGCGAGTTGTTATATGGATCGTTGCAAAACTTTCTATTTTCAAGGCCAATGCCTAGACGAAGCATCGTTGCCCAGCCCCTCGGAGTTCTCAGCCCCTCACACCTCTCCCCCATGAAAGTCCAGCTTGTGCAAAAGGACAAAAGTGACAAGAAGGTGGGCCGGGAGTACGCTCGCTCTCCTGCTTTGCCTCCCTCCTTTCAGCGGGGGACAACCGAGAGCTCGTAGAAGGGTGGGATGGTGGCAAAGCCCAACTCTTGGGGCGACAGGTCGATGTCCTGGGGGTCCATGGTGGGCTTCAGCCGGAACCTCTGCAGGACGGTGGTAAAGAAAAGGAAGAGCTCCATCCGGGCCAGGGCTTCCCCCAGACAAATGCGTTTCCCTGCGGGCAAAGAGGAGCAGAGTCAGGCCCTGCTGGCCAGGCTGGCCCGTCTTCTGGCTGAAAGTCGGGCAGAGCCATTCGTGGGCAGGCGGAGGGCCACCTTCCGCCCCTCGCCAGGGCCCCCCAGGTTGCGTCCAGCGTGTGCAAGAATGCGGAGACAGGCCTCTAATCCCCCCTCAGCATGGAAAAGCAGGAGGTGAGACGTGGCATAGAAGGAGGGGAGCAAAGCGCAGCCCGGAACCTGGGCAAGGGAACGTGTGGCGGGCGGAGAGGAGCAGGGCTGTACCTGAGGAGAAGGGGACGAAGGCGTCGTTCTTCTTCAGGTGCCCGTCCTCATCCAGGAAATTTTCGGGGTGGAAACCATAGGGGCTCTCAAACTTGGTGCTGTCGTGCAAGACCGTGCTGAGGAGTGGGTAGATTTCTGTCCCCTGAGGAGGAGAGGGCCCAAGTTCAGAGTGGCAGAGATTCAGGGCAGGCTGTCCCCAGGTGGCAGCACAGATGCCCACACGATCTGGGGAAGGCGGCCGAGAGCCAAGCATGTGTATCAATCTCCTTTTTGCGATGACAGGGCCGGGGCCTGTTTTGACTGGCGTTGAGTAACTGAGTTTTCTTACCCTTCTGTCCTGCCTATCCTCCAGGAACCCCCAGCAGCACCCATCGTACTCCTTTCCCCCTCGCACACCCCCAAACCCTGTAAGGTCGGCTGGGCGGCCAGAGAGTAGGGATTGGCTCTGGGAGGTTAGGAGAGCTCTACCCACTCAAGCTCTCTGCCTGATCCTGGCTTGTGCAGCCAAGCCAGCTTGCAGGGTGGGGATGTGCTGCCCTCCTCCCATGTCTGCTTGGCCTAAACCCCCACTCTCACAAAGAGGCTAAGCCCCCCGGAGGACCCCCGCACCTTAGGGATGAAGTAGCCTCTGAATTCGGTGTCACAGGTGACTGTGTGGGGCACATTCATGGGGATGAGGTCACTGAACCTCTGCACTTCGTGGATGACTGCATCCACGTAGGGCATGCGGCTGCGGTCTTCGATGTTCGGGATACGGTTCTGGCCAATCACACGATCGATTTCTTCATGCATCTTTGCTGTCAAAAGGTGGTCTTAAACTTAGTTACTTCGATTTCACTATCTCTGATGTATCTGAATGGAGCTCCCACCTCTGGGCAGCTGCTGAAGGACTAAAGAACTGGGGAGGCTGTTCTCCACATGCTGAGGTGGGCTGTTCTCAAGAGCCATCAGGCGAGCATTCCCCCTACCCGACCCTCACCCCATGGCAGGGGAAGCTTTTGGGCCTGATCTCATATGGGTAGATCTTATGCTGAAACCCAGGGCTTCTTGAAGCTTAAAGCAACTTTTCACTGGCCTAGCAATACATGTAGCTCTTCTCCCTGAACTTGGAGGGGCTGCTTCTTGGCCTAGGGACATGTGTTGGGGTGGGTCTTAACACCCCACCATACCTTGCACTTCGGGGAACTTCATCAGCAACAGAAATCCATATCTCAGGGTGGAGCTGACAGTCTCTGTCCCAGCAATAAACAAGGTTAGGGTGGTGAGCTCCAGGTTCTTCAGGTTGAATTCGCTGGCTGGGTTGTCTTTTTCCTGAAGACAGTTTGGAACCAGAGCACATGAGAATGTCTGTGGCCTGTGACTGGTGCTTTCTAGCTAGTTTGGGAGGAGCAAAACAGGAAAGGGACCACTGGTTGGAGCTGAGCGCGAGGAGACTGAGCAAAGCTCTGGTTTCCACAAAATAGAATGGTCCCTGTGTTTCTCATTGGACCGGCTGTCTCCACTGCCAGTCCCTTTCCTGGCTGGACCGCTTCTGTTCCCATCTCTGCCAGTCCCCTGACTGCCCTCTGCGGGAAAGGCAGCAAACGCTTGGCATCTTGAGGCTGCCCTCACAGGGCCTTGGAATAAGGGGGAAAAGGCTGCTTTAGCCCTGATGCGTCCGGAGAGGCTGTGGCCTGGGTGTGTTGTGGTGAGGGACCAGCGGGCCTCTGGACATCGAACACGTTCCCTTGCTTTCCCTTTGACCAGACCTGGAGGTTCTTTTGACAAGATCCAGCTGAGAAGCCAAAATCACCCAATCTTCCTGTCCTCTGGTGATGGTGTTTGGTCAGGAAGGGATGGCATGCTTGTACCCGCTGGCCCATCTTTTGCCCAGTGGCAAAGCCCCCTGTACCTGAAGTGTCACTCACAGCCTTGTAGCTGGGGGACACAATCGCCTGCTCACGCCCCGCATCCTACCTTCTCCATCTGGATCAGAAAGAAAACAATGTAACCCCGAGGGGAGTTGGGGTCCAGGGTCTCTTTGTTCTTCATCACCCTCTTG